CTTCGTTAGGGTGAGACGTTCTCTGAACTTCTGGACATATTCAATCACCGTTCCCACGGTTGCTCCTGGTGTCCATCGTTCCCTCATCATGGATAGCATGGCATATATAATATAGATAAATGGAAAGTAAGCCTTCTCAGGACCCACACGTCCTCCTTCGGCCTCACTAACCAATTCGGGGCACTCCTCCTGCTGTAACTCTCCGAGACGAGTGCGGTCTACCCCTAGAGAACCGGTGAGGGTCACCTGCAACTCACCATTCGGGCTACTTTCGCCCTCCACTCGTTCTCTGGGTCCTATGCAGAGGTGATCTGTTCCCAGGCTGTCAGTCGTCTCCTCAGCCCCATCAGATCCACAACCTCCTGGTTCTTCGCGTTGTCTCGGTGTCACAGTACAAACGGGGATCGCCACCGGTGCGATTCCCTTCTCGTCCCCACAGGCGTTCAACTCTCCGCCTGCCTCCTTGTCTTGTTCTATGCACTCTTCGCCCTTCACGAGATGCGGGAGGACATATCCTCCACACGCATCATTCCCCAAGATGACCTGCGCCTCCATCTTGGGCATTGACGTACAGACTCCCACCACTAGGGTCTGGCAGCCATAATCGGAATCCAAAGTTACCTGGTGTAGGGGCATCCTCACTGGGCCTCCCACAGTGGTCACACTTGCCACCCCCACACTGGTACTCTTGTAACCCTCGGGGAACAGGGTTTCACTTACCAGGGTAAAGTCAGCCCCGGTATCTCTTAGCATCTTCACTGGGATGGGGTCTGCGACCCCCATCCTTACGGTTCCTTGACACACGAATGGGTGAACTTTCTTCTCCCCATTCAGCACGGGTTCATCCCGCACTCCCTCGGCCCTCTGGTCCTCGAACATCACTAAAGCAACGTGTCCCCGCTGCTTAAAGCGTCTGCATTCCCGCGCGACGTGTCCGATTTTCCCGCAGTTGTAGCAGCGGACTCTCGGCGGAGACCATCCACCACCGCTCGCCTTAGCACTGCCTTCAGAGGCCGTCGCTCCCTGTGTCCTTCTCGCCTCACTTGTCGTTTCCTTCGTTGCAGTAACCACTCCCGAGCTTTCAGCTTGGTTCTCCTCTATCGGCTCTACAGCACCTTTTGTTCCTCTATCGTCCCATCTCGAGCGGTGGGACTTGGGAGAACTCGCTTCTGTCCTCCATCCATCCGTCCTCCTATAATTCCTACTGCTTCCGGAGTACGCGGGTGATCGGTGCTGTCCCTCTCGGCTCGGGCGTAGTGCTTCCTCTAACATGTCGGCCCGGTCGGCTGCGGCCCTTAGGTTCTTTATGTCCGCCTCCTTTATCCTCATCCTGATCTCAGGAGAGAGCACGGACATAAACTTTTCCATGACCATTAGTTCCTTGACCTCTTCGACTGACCTCGCTCCTTCAGAGTCCAGCCACTTAAGGAACTTTCTTTCCATGTGCCTCGCCGTCTCCGCATACGATTTGCCTGGCGACCGGGTACATTCTCTAAACCTCTTCCGGTAACACTCCGGCGTGAGCTTGAAGGAACGGAGCACAGCTCGTTTTACCACATCGTAGTTGGTGCATTCTTGGAAGTCGAGCATAGTGAAGGCTTCACGAGCTTCACCTGTGAGCCTCCCTTGAACTAACTCCGCCCACTCCGCCCTCGGCCACCTCTTCAGAGCAGCAACTCTCTCAAAGTGATCGAAGAAACTTTCGGCTTCACTAGGCACATAGACCGGCAGGTCTCGTTCCCTCACTCGTCGGTCTTCCTGTGGCGGTGGAGCAGGTGCACCTAGTCCTAGTTCAGCTCGCTTCAGCTCTACCTCCTTGTTGGCTTCTATTTCCAGTTGTCTCAGCCCAACTTCTCGCTCTTCGCTGCGCTGCTGTGCTTCTCGCTCTTGTTCTTCCCGGCGTAGCTGTGCTTCTCGTTCTTCTTTGCGCTGTTGTGCTTCTCGCTCTTCACGCTTCATCTGTGCTTCTCGCTCCTCACGCTTCATCTGTGCTTCTGCTTCTCGCTCTTCTTTGCGCTGCTGTGCTTCTCGCTCTTCTCTGCGCTGCTGTGCTTCTGCTTCTCGCTCTTCTTTGCGTTGCTGTGCTTCCAGCTGCAACTTCATTATTTCCAGCTTCACGCTGTGCCTGCTGCCGCTGGATCCCCTGCTGCTTCCACCAATACTCAGGTGTTCACCCACACTGGCAGGTGTATGGGGCCGTTCCTCCCCCAAAGCTTCGTCTCGAGCCCTGAGCTGAGCCATTATCTCTAGTCTTCTTTCTGCCACTCTGGCAGATTTCAGCTTTATTCCGAAATGATCCGCTATTGCCTGTAACTGTGCCTTGGTGCACTCTTCCAGCACCTGTTCGTCTCTAGAGTCAATAAACCTCGTCACTTTATCATCCTCCATCTTGTGCTATGAGTGATAACCTGCACCCGATCTCTAACACCACTGCCAAGTACCACTGCAACCTTTACTCCGATCGATATCCTGGCGAGGTCGCCTTTGTTGGGGTTTCTACTTCTCTATCCTTACTCTGGGGTGAGCAATAGTTATGCTCAAGGTCACTCACCGTAGCCCTGCGGGTCTTCACTTGATCCTCACGGCGCCACTGCATGCCAGGAGAGTCTCCCCAGTCAATCTCAACGGACTCTGATTAAGAAAGAGTGGGAACACGATTCGTTCACTTGACTGTCATGTGCCCTCCCCAACAATCGGGCTCTACGGTTAACCACAAGGTCGCCAACTGGTGTTTTAGGTGGCCAGTAACACCTCAGTGGACTTGTGGAATTAGTGGTAGCCTTGGCAAGGTCCAACTCAAAAGATCAGGAGTCAGGCAGGTACTTACTGTTATCACTCTATGCTTTCAGTATAATATAGCCACAAGATCAATGGAGGAGATGATAAAAACACAATGGTAATTTTGTATTTTACTTAAAATGTATGAAAGATGTCACAAGGCCAAACAATAATATATAAATCAACTGATCCTGGCAGCGGCCGGTAGTTCCCACGAATAGTATGCACTCACTAAGTGGCAACACCTCCCCTCCTCATCAAGTGTCAAGAACAGCTGATCGTCTGGCCCCCGCGCGAAAGCTTTGCTTGTTTTCTAGATTCACGCGCACTGTTTCTTTAAGTTCTCCAATATTTCTAGAAACTCGCACACTTGATATTGGCACAATAGACAGTATTACTTAGTTACACTGTACTCAGGCTCAAATAGTCGTTTTTACAATTAATGCTACAATGACTCACTGTAATGGCCTTCACTGCCCTTCATTCAACAATATATTATGGAATATTAACACTGGAGTTTTCAGTACTTTCTCTCGTGGGCGATAACGCAATAATTCACTGTACTCACAAATGATTAATCACTACACGAACAAAGACATAATAATGCATATAGATCAGACATCAGTAAATGGTAAAATAAATAGTTTCTGGGCACATAGCCTAACTTCCAAATACTGGCATAATATTATATATAATTTATCACTATATGTTCACATCAAAATCTCTAGAAAGATATACACAACACAGTAAATTTATCACTTGTTCCTGGTGCCTGTACACACCAATAATCAACATAAGTATTACAAGTACTCTTGATAGTACTACACGGCAAACTGGTGCCTCACTGTGACATTGGTGAGACTTGCTCACGACATATAAAATCCTCAGGCTAGATAATATAGCCGAATAATATAGCTAACTAAAGGGGAATGGGGAGGGAACTAGAAACACCTACTTCAACCTATCCTCCGATGAGAGTCGAGATGTAGCTCCTGGTCCTCGTGTCGGGAACGCCCCCACATGACACGTCGTCGTGTCCTACCAGAGCCTCTCGTCGTCCCACCGTTTAGCGCATCTTCTCCGTGCCCTCTTCTCTGCAGGTCCGTCCTCCTTCTTGACTTCTTGAAGGGTTGGAGTCGGTCTCCTGGCCGTCGTGTTCTCCCAGCAACGGCTGCCGCCTACGTCTCAGCAACAGTCGTCCGGATTCCCCAAATAGTCCTCTCCTTCCTCAGCTACCCAGTGGCTCTGTCAGCCACTACGCCGTCACGAACTGGTGCACTGCCACAGACGTCACATACGTCACTGCACGGCTTCACTGCTTCTTCCTGCACAGTACCTGACTGGAGCACATGTTGCTCAAATAACCGTCAATTCCCTCTCTGGTTCAACACATGAACTAGGGAAGACCTCTCAGAGTACTGGCAGACTTCAGGTGACACGTAAATCCACGGGAGCGGGAAACAACTGTCAAACTGACAGGACCAATCGTCACACGTCCGACCTCTGTGACGTGTCGTGTCTGACTGCTGGCGCCAGCTCGGCGCGCTGGCCGGACCCCCTTCCTTCGTGACGTCACTTTCGCCATGGGAGGTTTTCATTGGCTCCCGGTGCCACTGACGTCACAAGGTTTTGGCGGGAAATCAGGGAGGCAAGCGCCATCTTGGCTCCCTAAAGGGCCTATACCACAGGCCAAAATATTACTATTTCACAAATTTCTCGGCTCTCCGAGAACACTCCACTCTCTCCCATATATCAAATTGAAGCCTGCAACGTAGAGAACGCTTGGGAAAAGTAGACATGACTCTTACTGCAGGCGTGGGAGAATTATAAGTGGGGGAACTCCGTCACACTATCGAAAGTCGGACAACATTAACGATGATTTCGCACAGTGTGACGTAGTTCACCAGCTTTGTTACACTCGCGGCATGCCCCCAGTGTCCCCAACATGAGGCACGATGTAACTACACCACTGAAACAAGCTACGGGTCACCCCACCTGTGCTACTGCAGAAAAGCTCCGATTCAGCAATGAGTCTGGACCGCCTGGATCTGGCCATGACAGTGGTCAGCTCCCAAATATTACATTCGTACATGATCATGATGCAGCAATGAGTGACACTTGTGCTCCACCTCACACTAAAATGCAAATATTTTGTCTTGAATTTAAATATTCCATTGTTAACCAGACAAAAATATATTCATTAAGGGTTTTGTCACTGACAGGAGGATTGTTCTTCGCCGGGAAGATGAGGGAGGCGCGCTACATGACCATATTGGACCCGCTACAGGACCGCTACGGGCCTCGCTGGGGCGCTATGCTGTATCTGCCCGCGCTGGTCGGGGAGATCCTCTGGTCAGCCTCCATCCTCGCTGCCCTCGGTAAGTACCTCGCTATGATTGGTGCCCTCGGTAAGTACCTCGCTATGATTGGTGCCCTCGGTAAGTACCTCGCTATGATTGGTGCCCTCGGTAAGTACCTCGCTATGATTGGTGCCCTCGGTAAGTACCTCGCTATGATTGGTGCCCTCGGTAAGTACCTCGCTATGATTGGTGCCCTCGGTAAGTACCTCGCTATGATTGGTGCCCTCGGTAAGTACCTCGCTATGATTGGTGCCATCGGTAAGTACCTCGCTATGATTGGTGCCCTCGGTAAGTACCTTGCTATGATTGCTGCCCTCGGTAAGTACCTCAATAGTTCGTTGCTATGTTGGGTGCCCGCTGTAAGTACCTCACCTTTCCCTGACCCATGTTGCGTGCCCGCTGTATCACACTGTTCCCTGACCCATGTTGCGTGCCCGCTGTATCACACTGCTCCCTGACCCATGTTGGGTGCCCGCTGTATTACACTGCTCCCTGACCCATGTTGCGTGCCCGCTGTATCACACTGCTCCCTGACCCATGTTGGGTGCCCGCTGTATCACACTGCTCCCTGACCCATGTTGGGTGCCCGCTGTATCACACTGCTCCCTAACCCATGTTGGGTGCCCGTTGTATCACAATGCTCCCTGACCCATGTTGCGTGCCCGCTGTATCACACTGCTCCCTGACCCATGTTGCGTGCCCGCTGTATCACACTGCTCCCTGACCCATGTTGGGTGCCCGCTGTATCACACTGCTCCCTGACCCATGTTGGGTGCCCGCTGTATCACAATGCTCCCTGACCCATGTTGGGTGCCCGCTCTATCACACTGCTCCCTGACCCATGTTGGGTGCCCGCTGTATCACAATGCTCCGTGACCCATGTTGGGTGCCCGCTGAATCACACTGCTCCCTGACCCATGTTGGGTGCCCGCTGTATCACACTGTTCCCTGACCCATGTTGCGTGCCCGCTGTATCACACTGCTCCCTGACCCATGTTGGGTGCCCGCTGTATCACACTGCTCCCTGACCCATGTTGGGTGCCCGCTGTATCACACTGCTCCCTGACTATGTTGGGTGCTCTCGGAAACCTGGATTGTCAACCCTTCCTCCGAATAGACAGTACGTTTTTTTAATACTAAATGTAATAAGTACATTCCTGACTCTCTGCATAATAAATAAATACAATTAATTTTGCTGTTAAATTTACCTGCCCATATATTCTCCTCATTTTCTGTTAAGTTAATACACTCAAAACTTTTAGGTTGAAGTTTTTGTGTTCAACTCTCTATACGTAAGTTTTAAATAAAAGGAATTTCTTTTTGAGTTTTATTAAACAATTGAGGTTTTATAATATTTTTTTTTTTATCCTGAGTTACTTTATAATTTGTTGAAAGACTAATTGTAATTAAGAAATCAATAAATGCTATTTACATGTTTGACCTCCTACACTCCCAAGGTTAGGTTAGGTTAGGTTAGGTCGTGCTTTTCTAGACAGGTTTTCAGGTAAGCTCTAATATTCACAGTATTTTGGTGCGATGCTGGCAATTAAGTGTATTTCTGTACTATGCCGATAGTCAGAATTGTACTTACTACATTTAGTATTAAAACGTACTGTCTATTCGGAGGATGGACTGTGGATTGTATCTGGATGACGTTGTGAGAGTTCTTCTACTCCCTAAGTAGAAGCTTGGCCTGGGACCAAGCTTAACTTGTGATAACTTGGTCTACCAGGCTGTTGCTTGGAGCGGCCCGCAGCCCCACATATTCATAACAGACTCTTTGGTCCGGCATTTCTTGCAGAAAACTACCACTTAAGTTCTGGCAAGTTGCTAATAATAGCTAGGAGGTTATATACCAGCCGTGGACCTCTGATGTTTATACAGTGTTCTCTGATTGTGCCTATGGCACCCCTGCTCTTCACTGGTTCTATTCTGTGTTTTCTTCCACATCGTTCACTCCGTTATGTTGTTATTTTACTGTGTAAATTAGGGACCTGGCACTGCAGTATTTTCCAGAAATATATATTATGTGATACTTCTCTCATCTCTTTTCTAGGGAGTACATTTTGAGAGCGTTGAGACGGTCCCAATAGTTAAGGTGCTCTACCATGTCTTTGTATACCGTATATATATATATATATATATATATATATATATATATATATATATATACATTTTCATATATATATATATATATATATATATATATATATATATATATATATATATATATATATATATTTTTTTTTTTTGAGATATATACAAGAGTTGTTACATTCTTGTATAGCCACTAGTACGCGTAGGGTTTCAGGCAGGTCCCTGGAATACGATCCCCGTCGCGAAGAATCGTTGTTACAACCAAGTACACATTTTACTGTTGAGTTAAACAGAGGCTACAGTTAAGGTTTTTCGCCCAGTAAATCCTCCCCAGCCAGGATACGAACCCATGACAAAGCGCTCGCGGAACGCCAGACGAGTGTCTTACCACTACACCACGGAGACTGTCGAAGACAGTCTCCGTGTCAGTACAGACAGTAACAGTAAGACAGTAACAGTGACAGTAAGACAGACAGTCTTACCACTACTGCCACGGAGACCACGGATATGTCCTCTGTATTCCCTCTATTTTAACAATCTCTCCTGCTCTGAAGGGGAAAGTGAGTACTGAGCAGTACTCAAGACGGGACAACACAAGTGATTTGAACAGTACAATAATTGTGATGGGATCCCTGGATTTGAAGGTTCTCGTAATCCAACATTATAGAATCTAGCAAATGCTATATTTGCTTGGTTATCCGCTCTTAAAGTTAGGTCGTAATAAATCATTATTCCCAGATGTTACACATGTTGCAAATCCTGCTATGGGCAGATTTTATTGTCTTGTTCCCTGTATTTTCTTTAAGGTCTTCATTTTCACCATACTTAAGATTCTGGAATTTTTCACTGTTAAATATCAAGCTATTTTCTGCTGCCGAATGAAAAGCTTTATTAATATCAGCTCGTAGTTTTCCAATGTAACTTTGGTTTTTGTCTATATCTGATATAAGAATAAGGAAAAACAGTGGTGCAAGGACTATGCCCTAAGGTACAGAGCTTTTAAAAGTGCTTGGACTCGACTTTATTTGACTGTCACTCTTTGCGTTCTGTTTGACAGAAAACTGAATAAATATCCACCGTCCTACTTTATCTGTTATTCCTATTGACTTCACTTTGTGGGCTATCACTCCATGGTCACATTTATCAAATGCCTTTGTGAAGTATATGTATACCACATCTGCAGTTTGTTTTTCTTCTAATGCATCAATGATTTTGACACAGTAGACGAGTAGCTATGAAAGGCATGATCTTCCCGCTCTAAGTCCTCGTTGACCTGGGTTGTGGAGGTCATTGGTCTCCTGACTCATGATCATGCTCTCAAAAGCGTTGGCTATGTGGTCGTCCTCCCTTGTTAGTGCGACTTGTATATAATTCTTAGCCAATGTTTTGCTCCCTTGTATAGGCAGCTGTATCCGTTGATATAAGCGCTTCTGGTATTTCCCCGGTGTCCAAGATATGTATCCACGCTACACTGAGTGCCTGTGCTACTGTCACTTTGCATTTCTTTATAAACATTGAGTTCCAGGAGTCTGGACCCGGAGCCGAGTGCATGGGCATGCTGTCTTTTCTCTTTCAAAATGTGCAGCGTTAGTGTTAATGTCAGTGAGATTCTCAGGGGTTTGGATGTCATGCATAAAGAAGCTGTCCGTGCCTTCCACTTTCATGTTGTTTATTAGGGTGCTGAACATGTCCTCATACTGCTTGTTCTCTGTCGTCCTCTGGGGGTCGTCTTCTATGGACGTCTTCTGTGGTTGTCTTCTATGGTCGTCCTCTGTGGTCGTCTTCTGTAGTCGTCTTATATGGTCGTCTTCTGTGGTCGTCTTCTATGGTCGTCTTCTGTGGTCGTCTTCTATGGTCGTCTTCTGTGGTCGTCTTCTATGGTCGTCTTCTATGGTCGTCTTCTGTGGTCGTCTTCTATGGTCGTCTTCTGTGGTCGTCTTCTATGGTCGTCTTCTGTGGTCGTCTTCTGTGGCCGTCTTCTATGGTCGTCCTCTGTGGTCGTCTTCTATTTCCGTCCTCTGTGGTCGTCTTCTATGGTCGTCTTCTGTGGTCGTCTTCTATGGTCGTCTTCTGTGGTCGTCTTCTATTGTCGTCTTCTGTGGTCGTCTTCTGTGGCCGTCTTCTATGGTCGTCCTCTGTGGTCGTCTTCTATTTCCGTCCTCTGTGGTCGTCTTGTAACACGGGGAGGGCTTCTCTCGACTTATCTTTCCTTCTACTCCCCCTCAACCCGTATTCTTACTTTTTATTCTCTACAAGGGACTCCAAAACTTTTACTGAAGCCTTCTCCACGCCACGTGGTTCTAAGACGATTGACCGACTTAGGATTCTACAACCAGTATGACGTGACCTAGGCTTTGAGCAAGGCGTATTGGGCGATTCCGGTGGCAGAACAGGATAGGGAAAAAAACAGCATTCTCGGATGGTAGGCACACTTATCAATTCCGTAGGATGCCGTTTGGCTCGAAGACAGCGCCTTCGTCGTTTCAGAGGGCCATCAACTTCATTCTTAGTCCGGTACTGGGTAGGAATTCTTTAGCGTACCTGGATGATGTTGTGATATATTCCAGGACGTTTGAGGAACACCTACGGGACTTGACTGAGACTTTAAAGTTGTTAGATCAGGCAGGTTTCAGGCTGAATGTTCAGAAGTGCACCCTGGCGGCTCAGAAATTCAAATTTCTGGGGTTCCGGGTGTGCCCAGACGGTATCCGACCTGACCCAGATTCTTGCCGCGCCATTGCTGACAAGCCTACTCCAAGGACAGCAAAGGACGTGCGTAGGTTTTTGGGGGCGGCCGGATATTTTCGTCGTCATATTGAAGGTTTCGCTGGCATTTCAGCACCCCTGACTGATCTGACAAAAAAAATGCGAAGTTTGTGTGGAAATCTGAACATGACGAGGCATATTGCAAACTGAAAGAC